CGAATCCCTTCATGTAGCCGAGAGCAGCACCAGCATCCGTGGGCGGCGGGCGGGACAGGGCAGGGCAGGGCAGGGCAGGACAGGGCGCTCACCCGGGCCGGCCGGTCGCCCCAGCCTTTGCGCTGGGGTCGCAGGGGGTCGCAGTGAATCACCATCCACTGGATTTCGAACTGGCAAAGGAGATAAAGATCACGTTAATTTGGGTCAGGGGGGGTCACACTGGCCGAGGGTGTAATAGGAGGAACACTGGTCAGCTAACGGCATGTTTTAAAAGGTAGGTATTTAATGATAATAGCTATGCAGTGCCACAGTTCAGCACTGCACACACGGGGAGGGTCTGACCTGGCCCCTGGAGCTCAGTCCAGAGCTGAGCTCCACGCTGTGCTCCCCCACTCCTAACTGTGGAGGTCTTTTAAAGAGGGGGCATAAACCTCCTGAGGGATTTAGAAAGAAGGTGAGATTCATCTTGTGTCATTTTTTTTACAAGTTCTTTATAAGCACAGGCATTTTTCCTCATGCTCTGTGGTTGTTTTATTAGACACAGAAAAAGATTTCTCCAAGTGAATAGTTGTGCCCATGAAGGTAGGTCTGAGGACAGAAATGTGGTCTAAGTGTGAGAAGTTCAGAAAGCAGGATGATATGCACACTGGCAACAGTCTGCAACTGGGTAGTATACATCTGTGAAATTTCACATCTTCTTTGAACATTCGTATTTGGCACTGGAAAATGACACAGGATTAAGGCAAACCTCTTCTCAGAAACTGCAACTGAGACTCGCTTGATGTGCTATATAGGTTAAAAAGCATACCCTCTGCTGAAAGTTACTGGATAGCTCAAACATACAGCTTCAGAGGTATATCCATTGACATATAATGCATCATGTAGGATTTTAAGTACCAGAAGCATATTAAATTGTGCATATTTATTGTACCTAGGTTTTAAAGTCTTGGGTTGTTTTCTCTTCCCATCACACACAGTATCAGCTTGGCTTATGAACCACTAATGAGTGGTTTATCCAGAGATTTCTCAGTTCGATGATAAAATTTAGAGGCCTCTATTCCTTTCTTTTCATTATGGATGGCTGAGGAGTTGGGGGGAAAGAAAGTTTTGCGGTTTTTTGCTTGTAAAAACATAGAGCCCTGGTATGGAAAAGACTCTGATTTGTTTTTTCTGAGAAGCTGAAAATAGAAGTGACTGTCCAGGGGCTTTCACTTCTTATTTCTTTGCTTCTCTGAGTCTTTCTTCTTATTCTGTTGAGCTGAAGTAGCTCCCCACTACCCCTCCCACAACATAATGTCTCGGTGCTTCCTGGCTGCCTTCTGTGCTCCCTCTGGGATATCTTTTCAGTCCCAACCCGTAACTGATGCAGAAGGCAGACTGTCATTCTGAGATACTTTCCTCTCCCACCACCATCCTTACATTGACTTAGCTGCATACTGACTGCTACAGCTAATAAATGCTTTGATAAATGCTTTGAGTCTGAAGTCCTTTAAGATCTCTGCAAGACACCCACATATCCACAAGTTGCTTTTTTTTGGTTTTTTTTGCTTTCACCTTCACCACTTCAGTGCTGCCACTCCTGAAATCCTCGCTATCACATCTCTACTGTTCTGTTTACTTTGCAGTCATCAGTTTCCAGAGTGCTGAGTCTAGAGCACAAAGAGGCAGTACCCTCATTTCTTTTACCTGTTATCTGACACCACCATCTGTGAGTCAATTCTCTACCTCCTTTATCCAATTCTCATTTTAAAACCTTTCCCAGTCCTTAATAATAGACAACTGAATCTCATAATATACATTAAAAAGAACTGAATGTATACTATAATTTAATACTACAAGGCAGCAATGCAATAATAAAAATAAGAAGGTATCTGGAATCTGAAGATGAGGATTTATAAAAAGGCACAAAAATGGGATCAAATGATACCTATATGATAATTTATTTCATACCATACAACTAGATTCTGAGTCCCGAGTCTCTACATTAATCACCTCTGAAGCTCACTTGCAGAGGGAAAGATGGAAAGAGATCCGTAACTGGCTCTAAAGCAGTTTATAATCTATTTCTGATTTAAATAATAATCTATTTCTGATTTAAATTAAGATAGACATGGTTTTAAGTGACAGAATTTCTACTTTTTCAGTTTGTCTGTTTAATATTGAATTAAAATTGTATTAAATAATATTAAAATTGAAAGGTCATCCATTCAGTAGTTAGGAAATACCATAATTAAGGTTGCCTATACAAATTTAATCTGTATGTAATCTGAAATTGTGTGATTCCACACTTCTTTCCTTAGAACACTTCCGTCATTCACAAGACCAAATGAACAAGGCCATGGAAATGGTTTCCATACTGCAGAAACTGTAAGTTTGGAAGTAAATGGAGTGAAAGGTGGTAAAAAAAGGATGGCTTTGTGGAAAAGGCAGACAGATGCCACTGAATGAGCCTGCTTTTGCTTCATAATTCTTATATAGTGCTAACAAATTATTTAAATCAAAATAGCCACATTAAAGAGCATTCTGCATGGGGCGGGAGGAGGGAATTGGATGCCTGAAATGAAGTATCTGGGTACAGGTTATGCAAAAAGGCTGCTCAGTAACAACTGTAACTGAAATCAATAGTTTTGAGCTGTGCTTTCAACTTATAACATGGTACAAAATCTATAAACACTGAAAAAATGACTTTTAAGACATACCACCTGCAGCCAATATCTGCATCAGCACATTCCAGTTTTTTATGTAGATAATCATTGTCTCTTTTTTGTCTTTTGTGTGTGTGTGTGTGTGTGTCTGGTTTTTGGCTTCTGTACTAAGGTGAGAAAGATTTGAGATGATAAAATGCTAATTATTGTTAGACTTTGATGCGTGACTGTCCAAGCGCCAATATCTGTGTCTTAAGAGAATACTACTAGCAAATGCATATACATTTTTAAAGTTTGAACCCAGTTTTTCAACTTCGAACATAATCAATATTAAAATAGAGATAAATTTATTAATGAGATTATGAGATGTGATTGCTTGCTGCAGTGGGAACTTGACTCACTGAGCCAGGAAATCCTTTTAGTGTCTCTCATGTTTTCTTCCAACGCTCTTGAATGGCCAAAGAGAAAACCAATCACTTTGTTTTGTTCAAGATGGGATTTCAGTGGTGAGCATTAAGTAAGGCCTGGTACTCTCATGAGTTTAAGACACAGAAAAAAAAGTCTGAATAAATGAGGCAGGCATCCTATGCAGAAAAAATACCTAGCATTATTTACAAAACACTGTACCATAACGTGAATTTAAAAGGAGTTGAAATATTTTGAACGTGCAGCTTTAATTTGACATATTTTAGTTCACAGTTGCTTAGTCAAGCAGCATTAATTTTAAAAATAAACTGGTTGCTCTGTAAATTTTTTGCTTAGAGCTTTTGTTACTGTTTTGGGGCTATATAAAGCAAAAATTGAGATGAAAACTGTTCAACTTCTTTAAAATGAAAAATAAAACTCTTTTGTTGGCAAGGTAGTAGAAGGTGTGACTGGCCTCCCATTGATTTAGGAGAGGAAGGGCAAGTATGTCCTAGCCTTGCTGTCAAGGTATCTTTTCCCTCGGTGGTATTTCACAATGATCTTGTTGATTACATTAAGCTGATTTAAAGGACATCACCATTTTGAAGATGTCTCACGTAGATGTTCTATCAATATCAATACAAAGTGTTATTAGGGATGAAGTACAGGCACAAAGTTCTCAGAAATGAACCTCAGATAAATCAGGGGTAATCATAAAGCAAAGTTATTAAAATGTAATCCTTTAAGACCCATAGGTGTTTAAGACCCATAGGTCAATATTTCTGACATCCATTTTCCAAGGTTCCTACAGGATTTCCATTTCATCTTAATTTCTTAGTCAGCACAGATATAATTGGATTAGTTAAGTCTGTCGGTTCACTGTTTTGTCCTCTTAAATTCTGTGGAAATGCCTGCAAATGCCCACAGCTTTGCACATCTCCGTATCAGCTGTGCAATTCAGTTGTCTTATTAGAGCTTTAGATGAGAGAGATGAAGGTTAAGTAAGATGTAAATGAGACCTAAATATCTAGGGTAGTATTTTCAGTATAGCATCAGTCACAGGGAAGCATTTAGCAGTACTGTAGGCTTTAAGGAAAACTGTGACACTCAGAGCACGTTTGCAGGTCCCTTCTGGGAGAACTGGCTCCCTGTGCCCCACGGGGCTATTGCTGCCTCGGGGATGATTCAGGGGAGACATCCCTTCAGGGGAAGTACAACTGGGCTAAGCAATTTTCAGGTGAAGGTTTTCTACAATTTTTTGTCAATGGTATCTATGTTTGTTCTAAGGGAAGTCTGCTATCAATTCTTTGTACATTTGTTATGTGACAAAGAATAAGCTACACATGCTTAAATATACCTCATTCTAGAGCTATTTTAAAGATGTTTTAGCCATTTTCCTACATCTCTGGAATGGGTTTTTAGAGCCTCAATTTCCTTGCATCTTTTTTCAAAGTCTAAGAACAGTGCAGCAACTTCTGGTGTTATTTGACCTTCCATAGCAAGGGTTCAGCCTTCTGAACGTGAGATTTCACAGGGTGAAAAAAACCTGAGACGTGACTTTTTAAAATTCACACACACAATCTGTTCTATGGCATGAATTAATCCCTGTTCAGCAAATATTGATAAGCAGCTTCCTCTTAGACGTTACAAGTCATGCAGCTGCCCTGAACTAGTTAACAGCATTAAATGTCAATTAAATAATGACCAAGATTCACTTCTAGCAAAGTGTTTAGTGTCTATTATGAGAAAATCAGGGTAATGCCTCTGAAATGGCAGAAACTAAGACAATTTATATCATCTCACAGCAGTTAATCTTTGAGCAGTAAGAAATTAATGCCCTTACCTTTCTATAACAAACGCGTGATTTAGAGAGTAAGTTCCTTTTCAGTTTTGAAATTATGATATGTCTTGTACTGCTTAGAATTTATAGTGAATTATTTGAATTACTTTTAGATAAAAAGAACTATTTTTTTTTTAAATCTAAAAAAAAGATAAAATGCTGCTATAATCCTCCATAAAATTTTCCCCCCAATAAAACATTCTAGAAATCCTGGAATAAATCTTTGTAAAGGCTCAAAGGCAAGCCGTAGTTTCTAATGGAACTCTATCTGTTACTCTCCTAGGCAATCATAGTAACAACAAGTGATAAAGAATCTCTTTTGAAATGACATGTATTACAGTGCACCTATAAGAAGTTGACCTATTCTGCAAGATAAACAGAACACTCACAGAATACTGAAAAAAAAAAAAAGAATCGGAAACACATGATTTATGTCCTTCAAAAATTATACCACTGGAAGTAATATACTTTAACAATGCCTGGAAATAAATTATAAATTGTGCCTGGGACATATTAAATAACCAAGACTGGTGAGATGTTTAAATTGTGTCTAGTCAAGCAAGTTAAAGGATAAGCGATTTAAAGAGAAACTAAATGCACAGGCTAAAACAGAAACTCGTGCAATAGAAACAGCCATTTTAAAATTACTAGTCCTTCAGATTGTGTAATTCCTTTATCATAATTTCAGAGAATATGGTCTTCCTAAATCTGCACTTTTATAATATCAAGTTGGACCACTACCATTGTCAGTTTTGGCTTCATAGCGCAGGCCATGCAATTCAATCTAGTGAGTCCTATGTCAAACCCACAGTTCCATCTGAAATAAAGTGTATTTTTAGACACCCAAACTCAGTTTAAAATGTAATGTGATGCTTACCTTCTTCCTTCCCTGATAATTTGTTCCAATGCTTCATTGTTCTTTTTGTCAAAAAATGTGCATCATATTCCTGTTTTAAGGCCTACCTTATGCAAATATTTGATTTTTTTTCATAAAATATAGTAAATATGACTGAATCTTCCCAGAAACATGCTAAAAGTGTAAACAAATATTTTGCACGATAAGTGGTAAATTGTAAATGTACTTAATTCCATCTTGTCCTTTCATCCTTGAAGAAGGGTGTCCTACACTGAACGTAGCTTCACACTAGTGCCTGATGATGTACGTGCTTAAACACAGATGAGGCAGAACTTAATGCTAGACACTCTTCCCCCATCAGATGCCTGAAGAGCCTAGGGTAATCAGTGTTCCTCATTTGTATACCTGGCTGAAAAGAGCAAAAAGCCTCTGCAAAACACGGGCTAGAGAGGAAGGGGGATAAAATTCCAAATTTCCTCTGCTGCTTTTCCTGACTTCTTTAATCCTAGCCAAAGGTCAGCCAGAGCACCAACAGAGAAGGGGGAGACGTCCAAGTTCTCGCCAAGGTGACCTTAATACCACATCTCTCTCCTCATTTGTAGGCTGCCATTTCTGATCATTACTTCAACGGGCAACAGGAACTCTCCTCGTTTTTAAAGGAATGACACTGTGCCTAACTTAAGGGCACGGTTTACTGTAGCACTGTATACTAGGTGTTGTAATACTATTACATTAATGCCTATAGCTCTCTGTGCATTTAAGCTAAATATCTTTCCAAAGAGGAATACAATATTGGGGTAGAAATTTTTTCATCCTAGTAACATGCGTAGATTATGTAATGTTTTCATCATCCCATCCGTCCATTCCTCCACCAGTATCCCTCAGACCAGTTAGAAAAGCTGATACGTATGCAGCTAATCATTACATTATCAGCTCCAGCTGACTACTTTTGAATGACATTTTCAAAGACTAACTTTTGTTTTCAACAGAATTAATATAACTTTTTAGCTATTGATATTTTCTAATCCACTTCTATAGCAACATACTAGATAGCCACTTTCAGACACCTGGGGCACATTTCTGTCATCATTTTTCAAGTAAAACTGATTTCTATACAGTGCAATATAGTAACCTATACATACAGAGGTGATGAAGCATGAGGTGCTTCTTTTGTTGCAATGTTTCCCCTTTCAAGTTTATACATTGCTGGTTATCCTGTGGCCACAGTTTTTGCAAACAACATGAAAATATAGTTAAAAGATTATATCTCACTTCACTATTTCAAAGCTGATGCAAAACTTCAGTGTAGGGATGTGGAAAATTGTTACAATATATTTAAGTACCTGATTCTCTTTTGCCATTCAACTCATTTTGAAATGAGTACCCTATATATATATATATATATATGTATATCTTACCATTCATATGTTCCTAACACACTTAAAGAGGATCCTTGGAAAAGGAACAGGATAATATATGGAACCTTGCAATGTTTTCTGCAATTTTTTCAATTGTGTTTTGAAACTATTTCCTTTTAATCTACAAAGTTAATTCAGAAATAGCCTTCCCAAAGTCTTAAATGTCATTTAGTGCCACTGTGGGACAAAACTGTTACATTATTCAGCATAAAGTGCAGTATAACTCATTAGCTGAAAAAACCACTAGCTGAGAAAACACTTTCATGGATGTCTGAAAGGCAAAATGCAGATGTGACAGCTACAAATTTTTTTTCTGTCAGAAATTACAGGTATGTCACTTTGTATGTGTTTTATATTAATCACTTGTCTCAGAAACTAAATCAGATAATCAAATAATAAAATCCCTGAGGCTTTTCATATTCAGTTTTCTTTGTGGAAGGGCACAAAAGCATTCAATATTTACCATATGTCACCCCCAATGTTATTTTCTCTGTCAAAACAACTCTCCTTGCAATGTAGTAGCATGGAGAGGATATTTTCAGCATTAAATCAATTAACAGGATATAGAATAAACATTTCACTGCCTACTCTGGCTACACAGAATAAAGGAGCACTCCACAGTGAGTTTAGGTGCCTGCTATAATGCACAGGGGAAGTTAAATATCTAACAAAGGGATTCACAGCAGCCATGATATGGGGGTGGGATGTCCTGAGCTAGCCAGGAGAAAGTGTTGTGGAGATGGGTGGGCTTTATGTCTCAGCTCTGCTGGGCCCTTTGCCTGGAATGGATCTAGTCTCTGATGCTACACTTATCCCTCATAGGATTCATAAACAAGAACCTTCTTAAAGAGTTCACTGTCTACTCCAGGTCAGTCTTTTTCAAAGAACTCAAGCTAATTAAAGAGAAAAAGCAACTGTTAACATGATCATACCAGGTAGCACAATGGTTAGAACAGTATCCTGAGGTATAAGGTACTCATGATAATCTCTGATTTAGCGCTGAGATTTAAACATGGGTCTCTCATTTCCTGTGGGAACATCAGAGTAGATCAAAAAGGCCCTCCGTCAATCTCCCTTACAGGAGATATTCCCTTTGTATTAACGATTTAAAATATTTATTCTGCCAGAGACACATTTAATTATCTTTAGTTGATGGTCGGTGCATGCGTATGAGAGGGGTCCCAGTTCTTGCTCAATGAATGTTTTGCTCTCTTTGGTGTGAGGTGCAGCCCACAAATCCATGTCTCGAGAATTCCTTCTAGATCGAGCTCCACATATGAGATAAGCAGAGGAACACCCAACTGATATATCCAGACAGAGCAGAATCCAGTGACAGAAGTGTGGATGTCTGAGAAATTTCACTATTGAAACTTAGACATAACCTGGCTCATCTCTTACCTTACACAGTATATATATGTGCAAAATTTAAAAAGCAAAGCTAGTACTTACCTGCCAAGGAGTTGTTATTTTCTGCCATTTCTGCTTCCAGAAAACATTTGAAGATGCATTCCACAAAAAAATATTAAGTGTAAAGATCCTATAAAACACTTTTTGCAATAATAAAAGATTTTGGAACTTACCGGAACTGAAATTTCAGGATTATTTTTAAGTTTTCCAAGCACAGCAAAGCCATCAATGCTGATTTTCCCTTTTGGTTTTATGTTTAAGGATTCTATTTTAATACAGTCAATAAAAAGTGTGACACTGTTTGCTTCCACACTTATCATAAGCTTGTGCCATTGGGAGTCAAACAAGAAAGGCAAATGCAAAAATGATGCAGTTTGGAGATTTCCATCCACTCCTTTATAAGAAAACTCAACACTTTTCATTTGACCATTAAGATTCACTCCAACTTGTTCTTTTCCTGAAGAATCCTGAATCTGCCAAATAGTCCAGTATTTCTGAAGCGTGGCCCCAGTCATCCGAAAAGTAGTTAGAAAGGAATATTCATCGGGCAATCCGTTGGAATATATGGCACTGTGTAGGATCAAAATACAGTACATTTATTGTTTATTTGTTCTGAAAAGCACCACGTATCACCACAGAGTAATGAGAAACAGTTAGTCAGTGGAACCATATTTCAACCACGCTTTTATCAGTGCTCTCCTGCATGCAGAATCCCGAAACGGCATGTCCTTTTGAGGCATTAGTGTTGCTAATGGCAAAAGGAACCGGTTCAGAAATGTGGGTTCTTCCGACGTTGTACAGTATTTATGATAACCCTTTCTAAGTGTAATGGATGGAGCAACAACAGACCCGTACTTCACATTTAGAAAGTATATCCTACAATTATGCTATTTCCTACTATTAGACTTACAAAATCAGTCAACGTAGTACAACTTTATGATTGACCAGGTAGATAGTGCAGATCTGATTTCGTTTTGAAGACGTAAGAATGTCTTTTGCAGATGCATTTCCTTGTTCAGCCTGACGATAACCATTTTGTTAATGTATTAGCTATCGCTTCAGCAGAAATCATTCAACAAATCATGCATTGACAAATACATGCTTAGTAAGAACCCACACTAAAAATGTGTTATGTCCTGCAACATTCAACCACGAGACTACAAGTAGCAGGGAACAGATTTGCCACATGTAAAATGTTTCATTCTCTTGCAACTCCTGTAACATGTGAGATTTGGCAACACAAACAAGTACTACTGGCTGTATCACTATGCAAAACAGTAATGTCATTTTTTATCTCAAATGTGTCGACGAATCCAGTAGGATATTTAAGAAATATGCCTTTTCTTATTCTATGGATCGTAAAATTGTAGTGTCATAATCCAGTTGACATCAATACATTATTTGCCATCTATCCACATTTAAGAGTAAGTTGTATTTGAATAAATTTCTTAAGTACGGAGACATGCAGAGCTATTTTGTCACCAGCTTTCATTAGCATAACTTCTCAGGCAAGTAGGCATTTTGAACAAAGATTATTTTTGAGTGGCAGATCAATCCTATCTCAGCAGCAATTTAGCCAGCATTAGTGAACCTCAGGCTTTAGGCTAAGGGGAAAAAAAACGAAAAAATTGAATGAATTAGTTCTTATTCTGTATGCTTGATGACTACTGATTTAGTAAGAGAGTTCTTCCAGATAAAGTCTGCACAGTTTGTAGTTTGGTGTTAAAGTGTCCAAAGCTGTAGTGCAATCATATTCCAGCAGGCGACGGCACAGCCCAGCAAGATTTCAGTAAGGACCAGGACAAGCCTGGCAGCAGCAGCAGCAGCAGCTTCACCTTGTTAATAAACTACCCGAACCGCTGGTGTTTCTCCTCTTTCCCCACAAGCCTTTACATACACCTGGAAGCTGGTGTATGAGGAAGGGGAATGTTTAGCTGGAAGATTATCTCATTACACAAAGTGTGGAGATATACAAAGGTGGGAGAGGGGGTTCCTTGCCATTATCTTTAAACTGCCTGTGCTTTGCTATGACTTGTGTCTCTGTTGACTGCAGATGCAGTAGTCTGTCCCAGCTGGCTTTGTCTGATAGGATTTTATCTAACTTCTTGTGTTCTCTTATTGTTTTGTTTCAGTTTGTATCTTGCCATCTTAAATGCAAATGTCAATGCATAAACATTGTACCTTTCCTCCCGTTCTGGGCCATTTCCAGTGTATGCTGCTGTCCCCTATCCTTTTGTTAGGCTTCTAGCTTACACAATATATTTATATATTCTTTCCTGCTCCGGGAACATTCTCTCCCTATCCAGACACACATTAGTCTCTTGCTAAGCTCCTGATCAAGTTCAGCACATCTTTTATGGCCCTCTGTGTCCTTCTTCCTCCACAATATCTCTTAAACAAGTATTTCAGTGTCCTCTGCTGCTAAAACCTTAGCTCAGCTGAGTCACTTATCTCCTCATTTGCTGAATCCCACTGTTTGTTCTTGCACAAGAGCTGGTTTTACTACTACCCTGTTGAAGGTGGTATTGTTTGTTAGGTAATTTTTTAACTAGCCTCCGCGTGACATTCCACTTTCTCTCTATCAAGTTCAGTGACTCTAGGGGATCTGATAGGCCGAGCTCTGCAGCTACAGGAGGCATTGCTAATCCCAGATCCTCTGAGGAGAGGTTTTCATTCTTTCTCTGCACTGATATGTTTTGCTGTCCTGGCAATACTGGTTAAAATATCACACACATTCTCACCCTACCTCAGCTGACATAAATATAATGGGAAAAAAACCAACCAAACACACACATAAAAACTAGTAAGTAAACACAGTTACACTTTTCAGTGAGAAGATTGTTTATACCAGATTGACAAAAGGATTCTTCGCACCACATTTAGCTATAGTGTTAGTCCTTTACAAACCATCATATGGGTCCTCCTTCGTTTTCAGAAATTAAAATAGAAAAGAAATATGTTAACTTTTTCAAGTGATATACAAAGAAAAGAAATTGTGTAAGAGCTTCTGACATTGGTAAGAGAAAACTAAATTATAAGAAGTGTGTATAGAACAGGAAAGATAAAAAGTCAGTGCACAAACATGGATAAATATTTACATTTTAAGGAACTTCTAATAACCAATCAGAAGAACTGCTGCCTTTAGACTAAAGACTCAGTATCAGTAATGTGACTCAACATAACGAAGCACAGCATGACCCATCGCCAGAAAGGTACTCTGCAGGGGACTGGTACTGTGTCAGATTTATACCTATAACTCTACAAGTAAAGCAGAGACATTCTCATCTCAGTTACTCCAACAGTAATGAAAAGCAATTCCATTGGCTTTAGTGGTATCAGTATTTCAGTACACAGTTTTTCCCAAAGCCTGTGATCTTTACATAGGCAAAAACCCTACTGAAGTCAGCAGCTCAAAATGCTAAATATTTGGAAACTAGGGCAAATTTATCATGCTATTTAAATAAAAAATTGTAGAGAAGTTATTCCTCCATCTCACTGCAAAGTGAAGAGTGCTGGATTCTGTAATCTTCTTGAACAGCTGATAACTATATAAGCCCTTAAATTATTTAGGTAAATTATTTTTAACATACGTATTTCCAATTCCACTAGTTTATGGAAGGAAATCAAGCAATTTTAAATTTAGAATCAGGCAGATGAACAAAAGAAGAATTAATATGCAAAATTATTTCAAGCACACAGAACAAATTCAGCCCTGATCCATTTCCTACCCACTTAAAATTGCCAGGGATATAAGCCATCAGATAATTTATTTATTCATTTTTGTATCTTAAGTTTGTAAGATAGCAGTCTAGTCCTGCTTTCCTTGTGTACTCAGCCTGTTATTAACTGCTTCATGTGTGAAATGAGTGCAAGATCAGGTATTTTATCAAACATTTGAGTCCTTGCTTAATTTTTTAAATACAGTTGGTGGGGTGGGTTGTGAAACATTTGTAATCCATCTAAGGGAACTTCTGAAACACCACTGTTTTCTTTTAATCTTTTTCATAAATACCTAAGAGTCTTATTAATCCTGTAGCTTGAGTGCTTACCAGGAAGATTTCTTTAAGATTTCGAGGCTAATTCCTACCGAGGCATCAATATAACCAAAATAAGTCATCTGACTGAGCGGTGGAAGCCCTGAATAGTCCCACTGACTTCAGGATTCATCAAAAGCAGCAAGTATTTTAAAAGGTTAACTACATATTGATTTGAATACTACAAAATAACTGCTTATTTTATTAAACCTGTTTCTTTAATAGTTAATTTCTTAGGTGAGCCCACTGAGATAACTTACTCCTTGCTAAATGAAGATGTTAGAAATGTTAGTACAATCCACTAGGGATGGCTATAGAAATTCCTCTGGCCAACCTCATGATAATGCAGTATCATGTACCCAGGGGCGGGGGGTCCTTTGCCCAAGATGGAGACACTTGTGTCTGCACCTCCTGAAGCCTCCTAGAATCACAGCTGACCTGGCAGGCACTACCTGGCAGCCATCAAATAAGCAATAACAATAAAATCTAGCTAAGCATTTTTAAAAGCAACTGTCCTAAGTCATTAGCCAGAAGTCATTTGCTAGGACTCATTACCCTCAGCTGGTCTCTATTCTTCAGAAACATCCAGTTCTGAGCTAATTATTTCTCTTATGAGTTAATTAGCTTCTTAGCTGCATTTTGTCTTTTCCATTAGTGTCATCATCAATATCAATGGAGTGCTACTATGTAAGATATCTTACTTGTAATGCAAAAGGAAAAGCACCTGAAGAACTTTGGTGGCTGGATGTAAAATGCCAAGCCTTCAGGCATAAGTGTTTGAGGAGCATTACTTCACAGAGAAGCATTACTCCCAAAGGAAAAATCAGGAAATCAGCCTATGAAATTCTCTGGATGTTCCAAGCTTACTGATAAAGCTTTATAAACTTCCAATTTTCATTTTATAATTTCTTATCATACTGTGTTTGTGATGTCATCTGCTAAAGTGGTCTGCAGTACACCACTACTCCAAATATAAACACTGTTCAAAAAGCAGCTTACATTTTCACATTGCTCTACTTTGTACTGAGACGAGGATGCAGGCAAAGAGGTAACATTTCTAGAAGGCTACCTTCATGCTACTAAATTCAATATGCCCGGGACTGTTCTCTGATACTAAGTTCAGCTGGCATGAAAAAGTTTAGACCTGCTTAATTCCAAAATATGATGACTATATGCAGGCTGCTTATTGGGAATGGTCCATGGCCTATGCTGGCTGCCAAGCTGTGCCCAGGAATTGTTTGAAGAGTGTTAATTAGTCTGGACCCAAAACATGCCAAGGCCTTCTATAATATTTTAACAGTATAGATGATCAAGCGTGAATGCCTTGGAATGTTCCATGGCATTAATTTATCCATGTGGACACAGGGCCTTGTGATGTGACAGGTGCATTTGTGAAGTCAAAGGATTAAGATTTCATCCAGTGCATAAAGATAGCTAGCCCTTTTCCCCCACATAAAAACATATCATGAACATATTCCTTTGTGCTAATATATTTTTTTAAAGCTTGCAATTAAAAATCAACACAATTATTATCCAGATTACCAGTATTAATTTTGTACTTGCTAACTGGTGGACACCTACAACAGGTTCATAGATTAAATTGAAAAATGACAGGTTCACAGTGTCAGAGACAATGGGTATGAGTCATGGCAGTTTCACAGGTTCTTATTACACAAAGAACACTACGTTGATTCTTCAGCAGACTTTACGCTAGAAGAAGCAATGGCCAATGGGAATTTATGTGGATGATGGGAGAAGCCCATAGTCAAGACTTGTGTGCAACCATTTCTGTTCATTCTGGGATATACTTCTGGACCTTGGCAAGTATGCTAAGCAGCAAAACGACCAAGCTATAATTTAGTAGTGTTTTAAGGAAGCTATGTAAGCTTTTCAAGGCATAAGCTATTGCTACAGCACAGACTGAATAAATATGCTGAGCCATGCCCATTTAATTGAGCTCTCAATCCCATGCCATAGCCACTGCAACATGGGCTTGTCTGTGTTAGTGTAATGATCATATGCTAGTCTAAAAAATTATTTTACTATTCCTGATAAATACTGACTGAACAGTGACAGCCAGGCAAGCCCTCTGTGCTGATACTGTAATTGGCTTGCTTGCCATTTCTACGCGTGCACCCACCTCCCCATCCCTTCCTCAAAAGCCTTGAATGCCTTACGCCAGGGAACGGGCTTACTTAGGGTGACCTCTCCCTATTTCGTAAGGCAAGAGAAGACACTGTCCATGGCCACCAGGTTACCTGGTACTAATATGGCTGCCCATTAATGAAGGTGTGAGAGGAGATCTCTGCAGCGGAGCAGGCGTGGAGCCTGCTGTTGCCTGATGTGCTTATTGAGGGTCCCTCCCCAGTGCTCCTATAGCACGTCTGCCTTCATGCCTGCGTCAACCGCCCAGCTCGGGAAAACAGTGCTGTGTATTTCTTCCAAGCTCGCTCTAGTTTTGCCTCCCCCATCCTTTTCTTGGCTAGAAGCAAGGTTGGAAAAATGCAGTGAAGATGATTAGCAACCAAAAATACAGACGCATTGGTGGGAGTAGTAGGTTACATGCGGCAGGGGACCATGGGGAAGGTCAAGGTGCCACAACCCGGTTCAAAGCTGCGCCAGGGGAGGTTTAGACAGGACATTCGGAAGCATTTCTTTACCGAGGGTGGTCAAACACTGGAACAGGCTTCCTAGGGAGGTGGTTGATGTCCCAAGCCTGTCAGTGTTCAAGAGGCATTTGGACAATGCCCTCAACAACATGCTTTAACTTTTGGTCAGCCCTGAATTGGTCAGGCAGTTGGACTAGATGATCGTTGTAGGTCCCTTCCAACTGAAATCCTCTCCTCTCCTCTCCTCTCCTCTCCCCTCCCCTCCGCTCCCCTGCCTGCAGCCGCGGGATGCAGCTGCTGCCCGCTGGTACACCGGGAAATATTTACAATTGTTAAATACTCCACGTGTGAATAAAGGATAGCGGGAAAATGCAGCAGGAGCTCGGGGTTGCTGCAGTGCCTGGGTCTGAGAAAGCCAGAGCTACACCCGTGCCGTTAAAGATGCCCAGCCTTGCTTAAAGTGCTCTGCATAACTTGCTAACTCCTGTAATGCTTCTCAGGCATTTCATCATCCCAAATTCATACCAGTAAAATCCACCTACCATGCCACATTATAAAGATTATGGAGAGTTCTGTTTTAAAAAAAAAAATATTGGAAATGGCCTAAGGTGTGCCTCTCCTGTGCTGATAGCCTGAGCTACTTGCTACCAACTTCACTCCTTCTGAGTCAGCTTACTGAGAGGGGCACACGCTAAAATTACACTGGAGCAGAGCAGCAAGATCAGGCTCAGTGACAGAGGAGCAGCACACTGATGCAGTAGAGCACTGTCAGGACTCAAGCCTTAACCTTGGACAAGACACTCACCTCAAGTGCGGGTGACTTTTTACTTTGAGCCAGGGCCAAATTGCAGGTATACCATGAGGTAGCATTGCAGCGTAACAGCACAGTGGTGACTGGAAGTACCAGTCAGTGTCTTGAATGTGGTAAATTCATGATACTACAACACCATACCCAGCCAGCAAGCCCAGTGGCAGTAGTCAGCTCAGATGCCGTGGTGTATTAACGCAGCTGGAATAGACCTGATCAGGGATAACTTGTGTATATCAAGCATACATGTCTCTAGAGCCATCTATAGCAATAAGTCTAAACTTTCCTAAAAATGAAAATATTACAGCTTTGATAGCTCAGACTGTTTCTGAGCTAAGAAGCATGACTTGAAAATCTGAGAATCTCCAACTTTTAGTGAAACGAAGATCCCATTTACTGTCTGTGGTTGGATTCACATTTATACACCAGCAGCCTCGACTTGCCAGTGGGATGGAACAATGTAACCACCCAGTTAAGCTGTACACTAGCTTAACCTGGTGGCTACGAAGGTAGAAGCGAGGGAGGACTGCAGCAAGCAAAAGTTGTCAGTGATAGCCGGTGTATGACAGACACACTTTGTACTCTGATTATTCCTAGCTGAAACAGTAGTCCAATTAAAGGTCTTGCCAGTTAATTGCTAAGTAAAGGCATTCTTAATTACAGTCTGGATTCTTAAATCCAGACTTGCCTAAGTTTGGCAAAGACATCTCTATCCTGCTGTACTGTCTCTATTCCTTCACTGGCAGCAAGTCTGGCCTATAAAGCACAAACACAAGTAGATTCCTAAATCCTGGTTCCTATTGCAACTTGCCTGTGACATGCTAAATAATAGCTTTCATCTTTTATAGATTAAGTGACCATAAATCAGCCAGGAGCTTTCCTTCCTTACTAAAACTTACTAAACTTACTAAACATGTACCAGCTATCCAAGAAGAAAAAAAAAAAACAAAACACCTTACCATACAATCAATCAGCTTGTATCCTACCTTGCCTCTGCAATCCTTTAATGATCAGAAAGATCCCTTTGTGTCAATGTTTTGAGAAAATTTTCCTCACTCTCCTCCTGTTATCTTTTCTTTGCCTTCCTATCTCTTTTCAAGTCATCAACAACTTTTGGCTTCACTTTCTAGCGGTGAATCCCTTTCTATCAGCAAATCTTGAGGCACCCTGAGCAATATCATTGGTAGAGGAAAGTGGAAGTCCCTGAAATTGCTGTTACAGAATCAGTCTGTCTGGTGGTGGTGATGAAAAAAAGTTGAACTCCTCTTTCCCCTTCCAAAAGCTTTGCAAATGAGGTGATCTAGCTGGGGAGATGTTCTATCCCTTAAATGATAATATTGCAAAATATGTATATTTTAAAGTTAAACAACAAAAGGCATTACCTTGTTGGGATCCTGAATTCTACATTGGGTCCCAATTTATAAGCCACTTGCAGAGAAGTGGAGCCCACTACTCGCTGGATAATTCCTTGGGAAGCAGCTTTTTCTATTTGGAACTGAGAAATCAGGTCAAAGCCTACGAGAAAAGATATACATGTCCAGAATGTAACTTTCATTTTCATTTAATCAGAGAATTGTGCAGTCACAGAGCTGAGTATAACCTGATAAGGTTTCTGAACAGCTGCTTTTTCCTGAAAAAGTTGGGATGCTACTTGCCTGGTAAGTCATCTTGGCCAATCCTGATTGTTGGGCAGAGATCAGTTCTATGACTGGTACCCAGAATGACTGGTAGTCCTGCAAAAAAGGGTAAATTTATTAACCATGTGCCTGCACATTGCCTCAGATCACCTTAAAAAATTAAGTGAAGCAACTGTAAGAATATTATGAATTAAATAGAGCTAAAAATAATAATAATAATTAGATGTATATAATAATCAATTTAAACTGTACTCAGTGAAGTCAGAGGTCTAAGAAAATAAGCATCTGTTTCTAGAGAGCTCCAAACTTAAAATTATAACTTGACTGATTGTTTGATTTTTTTTTAAGCCTTAAACGAGAGTGTTATAATAATTCCTCTCTTGCAGAGCTATGGAGAAATAGTTGTAGCATAAGAAGGCCTGCTGTGTAAAGAGTTTTTGGTTTGGAACTTTTGGTGGTTTAAGCAAACTTTGAAAAAAAAAGCCAGTTACCTAAATCAACAGTCTCCCTAGTCTCAAGGAAACTTAAACAAACCTCATGCCAACTAGAGAGACTGTTGAGAAACTGTTGGCATGTTTTCCATCCTCTCTGGTATTCCAGGTGTTCCCGCCTTCCTCTGTGCCACATTTGATCAGAGAATGATCATTCATGAAATATAGGGTGGGGGCAAGAAGAACTTACAGACCTTTTTTGTTGACCCAAACAAGAATGTAGAAGAAATTTGTTTGAAGAACCCAAATTTAAAAATCTATTTTTTCAGAATATTATCAGTCAAAAAGCCCTGTAATGAGCATGAAAACCTACCAGATTCCCCTAATTTAAGGAAGGAGGAAGGAAAAATAAACATTTATTTGAAGAGTTTAAGAGTCATGTACAAGTCCAGTATCGGGTCAATCTGGAAAATGTTAGTAGAGTCTGGATGGGGAAGAATGAAGTGTGCAAGTTGGAAGGAGATGCATTTCTAACCTACAGAGAGCCTCTTGTGTGCTGCAAGGGCTCAACCATAAATGTGGGTTTCCTTCTGACAACATAGACTTAAAGGGAACATTCAGGTTGACATGTTACACCTCAGAAATGGCCTCATTCTATATTATTTGATGAGACATATGGCTGACATCCAGCCATTTATATTTTATGCCCAGCAAATAAAGTGGAACCAATTTGTTGCCACAGGTAGCAGAAGAATATCTAACTGGAAGCACTGAAAGATGCAGGGAGGTTTGTGTCCTGTATCTACCACCTATATCCAGATTGTAATCCTTACCTTAAAAATATATCTGATAGTGAGCTTAAAATAGCACACACACCTCTTGCTTTTTCTCCTCTTTCTCTTATATATACATCTATACATACACACAGACAGTTCTCCCTTTCTGTGATGGCTAGCTAGAGAGGATTTTAATTTTGAGTAAGCTCAGAATAATTCTTTTGACAGTCAAAATTACAGAAAGATGAAATGCAGATAAAGTCTGTCTCCTTACTTGATTGTTGCTGGATGGTGGCTGAGATGAAAGACCACAGAAAACTACACACGTAAAAGAAAGCTGTAATTTTCCTGTAAACAGAAAGAAAACTCCAGTATGAATGTATAGTTTCTGACAGATTCTGTTATTGACTTTCTTCTTAGAGCCGTGCATATTAAATGTATAAAAACCCAAGTTAAGGATTTACTAACAGATTTAACAAGACAATTTCTTTACATGAGAACATTTTATCTTTGCTGTATAATAAAGCATGTCAATAAAACTCTTTCTATTACCATTTCCTTCATACAATGCTGTCGTAAAACCAAACAACAAAGGTGGCAGCTGGCAAGGACAGCTTGAACTGTTCTTATCTCTTATTTACAGATTTCTCTAAATCCCACTTGTTTTCTTACCAGTTGCTTTTCATCTTCACTGCTGGCTTTCTTCACTTCTCTCATGTGAATACGTGGTGTCTATAGTCACACTCTCTGCTTCCCGCTCATTACTCCTGTAGAAGAGAGCGGCAATGGGTGAGGACGGCTCCTCCTGCCCCACACAGGACCCAGCAGGGAGGGAGGGGCAGGCTGCCGGGTCTGTTTTAATCTTGCGAAGGGAAGGAGGTGGAGGCTGGACAGACATGTGTGTCCTGGCGGGCTCTGAGGGCGGATCTCTGGAGCCAGTTGAATATAAAGAAGCCAAGAGAGCAAAGAAAAGTCTGCTGCTTGTGCCAGCATCAGGGCAGGGAGATTAAGAAAATGTGAGTTCAGCAGTGCCAGTCACTGGATGGCGGGGTCTGCTATTCAGCCAGGCACATGAAAGAATAATATGTACCAGAGGGGGCTGAGGAAGCTGGTGGCCCTGACGTGGTGTTAAGACTAAAAGCTTTGAGAATAAGAGAACCACGGTCCTATAAAGAAGGCATTTCCATTTCTCACTGATTTACTCATCGGGTGGCCTCAGGAGAAGCCTAGCTGGTGACGTCCCAGTCAGTTCTTCTGAATAAAACCAATTATTTGAAAGGGTTTTCATTGCTTAAACTTGAACCTTTTCAAGGAATACACTTAGGCATTACTAAGCAGAATCCTGTTCTTCAGTTGTCATTGATAAAGTACTCACTTTCTATTACATATGTTTGGACACACACAGACATTTATTCATATTTCTTCACATGGATGTAAAAAGAGAGAGAGAGACTAAAATCAGTATGCAAGGAAAAAGAGGTGAACAGCCAGAAGGTCCTGATAGTTACCATGGTCAAAATTCATGTCTGTATGGAAAAGTATGCTAGTTTGTGCTAATACATCACATTCGTAAGATTTCATCTTCTCTACATTCTTAATATTCTAAAGGAGTTTAAATTTCCAGAAATTTTTTTTTTAAGTGGAGGGTATAGCAAATGCAGTGATTTCTGCTGTCTGCTGAGAGTCTGAAGCAATAACTGAGTAATGAACTACCCCATTCATCCCAATTTGCTGTACTCACATTCCCAGTATTGGTAATTCCAGTGTCAATGTTGTTCACACTTTTATGTCCATTATTAGAAAGGGAGGGGCTGGATCATGTACTCTTCGCTGGGTAAAAAACTGGCTGGATGGCCAGGCCCAGAGAGTTGTGGTGAATGGAGTTCAATCCAGTTGGCGGCCGGTCACGAGCGGTGTTCCCCAGGGCTCAGTTTTGGGGCCAGTCTTGTTCAATATCTTTATCAATGATCTGGACGAGGGGATCGAGTGTACCCTCAGTAAGTTTGCAGACGACACCAAGTTGGGCGGGAGTGTTGATCTGCTCGAGGGTAGGAAGGCTCTGCAGAGGGACCTGGACAGGCTGGATCGATGGGCCAAGGCCAACTGTATGAGATTCAACAAGGCCAAGTGCCGGGTCCTGGACTTGGGCCACAACAACCCCATGCAGCGCTACAGGCCTGGGGAAGAGTGGCTGGAAGGCTGCCCAACAGAAAAGGACCTGGGGGTGTTGGTCGACAGCCGGCTGAACATGAGCCGGCA